TCAATTTGGCACAGGACCTTCGGCTGATTCTACAGTTTTCAAGAACATGGCGGATTGGAAGGCAACTTCCGTCCCAAAGATGGAGCAGAATTACGTGGTACCATGCCTGAATGGGGCGCACGAAGTTGTGTGTGAGGAGCGCACCCTGGCGATCCAGTGGCTAAGCTTAAGGACTCTGTTGTGGTACGAGGTGAACTAAACAGTCGTTATGCCGTGCTCAATCCGCAAGCTGAGGCTGTCGACAAGCTATCAAACCGCGAAAAGACAGTTGCCTTCCAGCAGCAGCAACTCAACGAGGCTGACACAAAGCTTGAGCCAGACTACAATAACGCTGTAGCTGGTGTAACCCAAACGGATAATTATCTTGAAGGAGGAGGGGAACAGTTGCGCCAAACGTAGGTAATGGAGCAACAGGCTTGCTAGTGAGAGGGGAGTCTTCCACCGGAGGGGCACCTACACAGAATAAAGGTGCCGGGACTGATGTACAACCACAACGGGGGTACCGTTAGGCCTCCCGGCAAGTGAGGGGTATATGCTCCACTAAGGTCTGCCCCGAGCACCTTCCGGGGGAGGAGACTTTGGCGGTTTTGTTGGGCCACCAGCGGCGCCACAGAGCGGGATACACCGTGTCGGTGATGATGCCTCGGTAAAGGAGGAGATTAACACCCCACCGTTTCAAGTTTTCATCCTTGTAAACGTGGCCGCGGCGTCGGTGGGTTGAGTGGCTGGGGGAGAAGAATGTGGAGTATTCCCTGCGAGGTGGACGTGCCATTATGCCACGTCTCGGGATGTTTTGCCGACACCCTTCTCCGTGGCGGCATCATGCGAGGATGTCCGGGCTTCATTCTTTCCGGTTGCCCCTCTGGTGGGAGCGCATCATCTGTTTCGGTGCCGAGTGGCGGGTGCTGCTGACGTGGAGCTGACCCAATGGCTCACTATGGGGTGCAAGACGAGTCCGGAAATGCTGCAAGATTTCGTACTTCCCCAGTAACGGGAGTGGTGATGGTGGTTGGCCCGAAATAAACAGCGCCCTCGGATATATGAGTGGGCACGTGGATGGACATTATTCATCTCTCAGACAGACTGTAAGATGTTGTCGCAGGGGAAGACGAGGCCTGCCTGTGCGCGGCCGGAAGTGGAGCAGCAAATGGGGGGAGGGAGAGTTCAGACGCAATCGGTACGCCTACTTGGATGTTCTTTTTGATCACGCAAATCACTCTCTGGGGCTCCGTGAAGAATGCTCAAGGCCAATAGGTAGATCTTCCATCGCTAATGGACATAACGGTCATCAGCATGGACGTCTTGGCTTTCATATTCCTGCACACTGCAGCTGTGCTTGACATAATATTGTTTCTATGTTATTTCTTTTTGAAAACGCCGTTCGACGGAGGCCATCGGCATTGGATAGAGGAGCAATGGGGATCTCATCACCGGCTCATCTTCTCCCAACGTCAAGGGAAATTGGGAACGCACTGCGTTCGAGGTAGGTCGGTAACAACTAAAGGATCATCAGACCCTGGGGGGGATGGCGGCTGCACTGATAACCGATGCGAGTACGCACGGCTAGGGTGTTGATTGTTTGCCTGACGCTGTTGAAGACTGCAGAGGGGCGTTGGATAACACCTCTGCGTCTCATCATGCAAGCCTTGGCCCGCGCAGTCCTGTTGGCCATCGTGGGCATCCAAAGGAATTTTACTTCCCAAACTGTGGGCGTGGGTGGGAAGTTGACTTGGTGGAGAGATGATGCTGAATAGGGAATACCTAATTGAGTGAGCTAGGCGGTTCAGCGAAAGATGAGTAACTTGTGTGAAGCTTTCTTATTGTGCGGTTTCTGCCACTCATCGGTTTCACAACAATTGAGGCAACAAAGACAACGACAAAAGACAACCACTCTGTATTTCTTTCCCTTTTCTGCTTCAACTCCCCGCTTGTAGTTTGAGGGGCTCAGGTGCAGTTATGGACTATTGCTTGTGT